CCAAAGACACAAGGGAAAGATTAGTCCAAAGGACTAATGGACCACAACTACCACAGCCTCCACCAGACTGAGTCCAGCACAACTAGATGGTGCCTGGCTACCACCACCGACTGCTCTGACAGGGATCACAATAGAGGGTCCTGGACAGAGCTGGAGAAAAATGTAGAACAAAATTCTAACCCATAAAAAAAAAAAAGACCAGACTTACTGGTCTGACAGGGACTGGAGAAACTCTGAGAGCATGGCCTCCGGACACCCTTTTAACTAAGTACTGAAGTCACTCCTGAGGTTCATCCCTCAGCCAAAGATTAGACAGGCTCATAAAAGAAACAATAATACATACAGCTCAACCATGTATATGAGACTTAATGGGCACACCAGCCCAGGGGTGAGGACGAGAAGGCAGGAGGGGAAAGGAAAGCTAGATGAATGGAAATGGGGAACCCAAGGTCGAGAAGGGGAGAGTGCTGACACATCGTGAGGTTGGCAACCAATGTCGCAAAACAATATGTGTTAATTGTTTAATGAGAACCTAATTTTTTCTGTAAACTTTAAAGCACAATAAAAAATAAAATAAATACACCAAAAAAAAGATCCTCTACAAGCCAAGGAACCAAGAAACATCTGGGCCACTAACAAGCAAGGAATTGACACGGCCAAGACCCTGATTTGGACTTTTAGCCTCTAGAACTGTGAGAAAATAAATTTCTGCTCTTTGAAGCCACACACTTGTGGTATTTTTGCCACAGCAGTACTAGATAACTGAAATACGTTTAGATAGGATATTTTGGTTTAAAATGTATTATTGTAAAATTATGGAATTTGTGAGACAAGCAGATACTTAAACAATGACTGAATATTTGGTGATATTAAGGAATTATTGTTAATTTTGAAGATATACGAATGGTAATATGGTTATGTTAATAAAAGTAATCCTTATCTATATTTTGTAAAATATAGGATGTCTGGAATTTGCTTTAAAGTAATCCATGGAAGGAGGGTAAAGATGAAGCAAGATCGGTCATGTGTTGATCACTGAAGCTAAATGATGGGCACATGGGATTTCATTATGCTATCCTTTCTACTTTGGTCCATGTTTGAAATTTTCCTTAATAAAAAAGGTTTTAAAAAAGACAGGATAGTGATTGCTCCTGGAGTGGGGAGAGGAAAGCTGTTGGATTCAAGGAGGAGGCTTCAGATATAAAGGTAATTAACATTCTTTTTTTATGTAACATCGGATTTATTATTTCCAGTTTAGGAATGAGAGAACTGAAACGTAGAGAAGTCCAAATCAGTTAGTAAGTGGCGATGCCTGAGGTTGAATCTGTTGTGGAGCCTTTTCTTGCCTTGATGTTATCTTTGCCTTCTGTGTACATAAAGCTCCCCATCCCTCACCATTCCTCTGTGTATGCTCCCTTAATTTTTTCCTTTTCTTTTTCTAATGGTCCTTTCTTTGCTGTATTCAACATTCATCCTGTGAATACCTATTTCTTAAATGAAGTGAGAAACACACAATGTTTGTGGTATTTTATTCTGTGTATTCAACAAATATTTCATAAATATACCTTTTCATTTACTCAGTATTTATAAAAACCGTAAACAAGAGGGAGGCAGAGTGGAAGGGATGGAGAAGGAAGGAAGGAGAGAGAGAGAAAGGAATAATAAACACAAGACTCAGGATAATGTTTACTTTTGAGTTAGGAGAGAAGTGATGAATTGAGGTTAGGATTTGGATCATCATGATAATCCTATTCACTTTTTTTTTTTTAATTGTACTTTAGATGAAGGTTTACAGAACAAACTAATTTCTCATTAAACAGTTCACATATTGTTTTATGACATTGGTTAATAACCCCACAACATGTCAACACTCTGTCTTCTCGACCTTGGGTTCCCTATTAACAACTTTCCTGTCCCCTCCTGCCTTCTCATCCTTGCCCCTGGGCTGGTGTGCTCATTTAGTCTCATTTTGTTTTATGGGGCTGTCTAATCTTTGGCTGAAGGGAGTACCTTGGGAATTACTTCATTACTGAGTTAGAAGGGTGTCTGGGGGCCATACTCTCAGGGTCCATTCACTGTTAATATATACTTACAACTGACCCAGTTTTGGCCAATGAAACATGAGTGGAAGGAAGTCTCCTAAGGAGCATAAACCAAAAAAAAAAAAAAAAACCTGTTGCCTCCGAGTCGATTCTGACTCATAGCGACCCTATAGGACAGAGTAGAACTGCCCCATAGGGTTTCCAAGGAGTGGCTGGTGAATTCAAACTGCTGACCTTTCGGTTAGCAGCCAAGCTTTTAACCACTGCGCCACCAGGGCTCCCCTAAGGAGCATATGGGAAAGCTTTTCCTTCCTTCTAAAAAGGGCAGGCGTAACAATAGAGTTTCCTCTTCTTTGTGTGTTTAATACAGATGTGACACTTGGGACTGCAACAATCATCTTGCGACCAAGAGGTGACAAGCATGAAGACAAAAATACTATGAATGGTAGCACATAAAGAGAAAATGAACCTATATTCTTGATGACATGACTGGACAACCAGACCGTACAGGCCACCTAGATTACAAAGCTTCTTACTAAGTACATGGTAAATATTTATGATTTAAGCCTCTGACAGTTTGGTTTTTCTCTTACTTACAGCAAGAGCATTCCTAAGTAATATACAGCTAAACTTAGTCCCTTCTTGGTTTTTCTCAGTCATTTCAGATTTAATCCAGTTAAAGACATTCTTCCCCTTCAACCCTATGACTGCATCTGTTAGGAGGGGCAGATAGGAGGTGTGCACAGCAGGTTTACATGGCATCAGGCATTAATCAGGTGCCATCAAGTCAGTTCTGACTCATGGGGACTCCATATGTGTCAGAGTAGAACTGTGCTCCATAGGGTTTTCAATGGCTGATTTTTCAGAAGTAGATCAGCAGGCCTTTCTTCCGAGGTGCCTCTGGGTAGACTTGAACCTTCAACCTTTTGGTTATTAGCCAAGCATGTCAACCATTTGCACCACCCAGAGACTCCCTCAAGGCATTAGTGGAAGGCTTTGTGTCCTGGATTACTATCTGCATACTGGTATCTGCCACCCCTGTCATCTGCTAGTCTGTAAGAGTCAGCATATATGTAAGACTCATGCTATCTCTTGATGTCTGCTAAAATGTGTCATCTAGTCTGATCCTCAGGAAACCATCGCCTCCACGATGCATCAAGTGAAACATAAGTTTAGCCTCATCCCTGGCTTGATGATCCACAGTGCATCATACTGTGCTCTCCCCTCATTCCAGCTGTAACACCCATGCAGCCCTCCTGGCTTGCTCTCTTTCTCCATTTCTCTCTCTCCTAACTTCCATAGTCTCCTCAGAGCACAGAAATCCAGCTGTTCTTCCGCATCCCCTGGGGTGTGTGAGACCCTGAGGCTGGTTTCCACCCTTACACCTCACACAGGTACCACTACTCTCCTACTCAGAGTCATGCTAGATGCCTCTTCTCTTGAGGCTTGAGGTCTTCGGCCAGCCACAGTCTGAGGCAGGAGCCCCAGCCGCACTCATATTCTCTCACCCACTAGATTTGATCTGGAGAGTTGGGCTGAGTGAGGGACTCCCAAAGATCCCAGTAGCAGTGACTCCTCAGAGCTCATCTGGTCCGGCTTTTTGTGTATTCTCTATCCAAACAAAAGCCCTGGTTTTCAAAACTATTGGCCTCTGCTTTGAGTTTAAAAGTCTATTTATAAAACTCCAAATATGAGAAATTCTATTTCTTTTTCTTTGTATTCCTGCTATAGCGATCGTTTCCGAAGCAATGGCTGCCTCCTACACAAGTATTTCTGCAGAAAAGTGTGCCAAATATAGTCTGTTGGTACTCAGCAACTCTTTAGGATCTTTCAATAAATCTAATATGGGTAGGCTGAAGCAGAGAACTCACCAAGCCATAAACCAAATAGAATATATGTGTATGTATATATATATGTGTGTGTGTGTATATATAGACACATAAATATAAATATATACATATATAATTAATTTTTGTATAAGCTATGAAATATCAACATGCACTTCAGACTAAGGTTTATAGAATGTTTTCCTTGTGCAGGACGTAAAATATAATTTAAATGCACATGACAGGCAGCATCTAATTGAAATATGAATTATTTTCTTCGGACTTCAAATGAAGGTTTCTAATAATAAGTATCCGAGAGAACTTATCTGATGACTTAAATGTCACATTAGCATTTTATGAAATTCAAAGAAAAACAAAAATGTGGATCAGCACATGCTATGAATTCTTTGCCAAAAAATGTTGCCTACCAACTGTTCCCTTCACTTCACTATCTGCCTGGGTGCGCTAGGGTGACAGGGCGACCCCACGAGGCTGCCCCCAGCCTGACTCGGGAATGCTGGCTCTGCAGAATCCTAACTGAAAAGTATTTTGGGACATTGCACAGTCAAGGCCCAGGAGGAAAACATTACCATATTTCTTCTTCCCCAGGCACTTGTCCACCGTCCTCTCTGATACAGACCTCCTGTTGCCAAGGAAGACCCCGTTAAAGAAGCACTTTTTTCCAACATGGTAGGTGTGGATATTACTGCTAAACCTCGGGTAAAATGTCCACTCAGGACGCTGCCCATCTTCTGCAAGACATCAGAAATCCTTCCATTAGCACCGCACACAGCCTCATAATGCAATGGGATAACAAAAAATTGTGAAATCTCCCCAGGTACTATCTAGTTGTACAGCCTTTCTCAACGTGTATAGTTCCCTGGCTCTCCATCAGGGGCAGTGGGAACCTCTGTGGGACTAGGCACAAAAGGCTGTGGTCAGGGAAGGCGGTGGGGGGGAATCTACCTAGGAGGCCTCATGTTTTTCTTTTTTTACCTTCTCCAAAAATAAAGCCAATTTTATAACTGGAAATAGAGTATGAGTTGGGAAGTTCAAAGAGTTTTATAAGCACTTATAATCCAGCCTTCACTCTGATAACTGTGTAGGAAGAATAAGGATGCCCACTAACCAAGGAATGGCTGAGCCAACCATGGTACGCAACTCAGTGGAACATGGTGTTGGCAGCAACAGTAGCACGCACATGTACTACAATGATACAGGGAAATGTATACATGCAATAGTGTCAAATGAGAAATGCAGCCATGAGATTTTAGGCAAGTTACTGGACCTCTTAGTGTCTCTGTTTCCTCATTAGGTAGTTTTAATATAAAATTGCTAAAGGTGATTATAAATGATAAAAGATCCCCCAATAGCTCTTGGGCTGTTTGAGAAATACTTGGGCTCTTTGGCTTGGGTTCTAATCCTATTACTCTACTTCCTAGATATGTGTGCTTGTACGGGTGAATGAACCCCTCCAAGTCTCAGTTTCCTTCTCTGTAAAATGGGTAGGTCTATATTATCCCCGTAGTCCTATATGTATTGACACAAAAAGAGGTCCATGATATATTTACTATTGAGTAAAAACAGCTTGTATAGTACAACTCATTTATTATTTATATATGCATGAGTATGCGTATCTATACATACATATACATTTCAAAATTCTGGAAATACATATTTCCAACCCTTCATAGATATGGGGCGGGATGGAGATGTTGGAGAGATTATAGGGGAAAGAATCTCTGCATTCTACATTATATACATCTTAATTATTTTAATATTTTGCTACAGTACTTATGGTTTCCATATAAAGGCATTTCATTTTTGAAAAACATATAATGATACCTCCTCAGCAGGGTTGTTATGAGAATAGAGAAGAAGCATGTCAAATCCCTGGCACTTAGTGGGTCCCAACCAATAAATGGTGCCCAACAGTATGACAGGTTTCTGAAAAGACCCTCAGCACTGAGGCCTGTGGAGGTGGAGTCCGTGACTTACTCACTTGTCTGCAACTTAAGCAGGCTGAAGTGCTCAGGATATTTGTTCATTTGGATTTCAGGCAACGAGGTTTCAGAGGAGTGATCAGAATGTGAGGAGGAGGAAGATTTCAGCTCCAAATCTGCGGCTGTGCTAGGAAGAAAGCAGAAGGATTAGATTTGTCTATGTGCTAATTGGTAGCTAGAACTTGATCTTACATATCTTATGCTAGAATTGCCCTCAGTTATGAGCACTGGGCCTACTCCTCTATAAAAGTTCACATGCATATAATTTATTTATTCACAATTTGATGAGGCTGAAATATACTCAAAAGACGTATATCTTCCACCTAAATAACAGATTGGCTCATAAAATAAACAAGATCACCCGTGAGTACTGTGCTCCTTTTAAAAAAAAAAATCATCTATATGAGACCGAACGGTCAACATTTACTCTAAAGCAAAGACAAGAAGGTAGAGGGGGGCACGGAAACTAGATTAATGGAAACAGAACAACTAGAACAGAAATAATGAGAATGTGGACACATTGTGAAAAATGTAACCAATGTCACTGAACAATTTGTGCAGAAATAGTTCAATAGGAACCTAATTTGTCGTGTAAACTTTCACCAAAAACATAATAAAAATTATTTTAAAAAAGATGTATATTCAACAAGGCCATTAAGTGGAAATAAAACAATCAGTGATCTTAAAGAGAAGCGGAAGAAATAATAAAAAACAAATCTAGACTGAAATCTGAGCATTATGTTTAGTTTTGAACTTCCTGGCAGTTAAAAAGACTTACAACAAACTGTTGTAGATGTCAGTGGAAAAAGCAATCATTTGAAAAGTGGTCTCGGACAATGCTTTCAGGCATAGTTATCCATAATCGAGGCGTGAGATTTTTAAATATTTTTTAATATTGCATCACTCTTATACTTGAATAGTTTCAAAGCAATTTCGTATTTCTTATCTTGCTTGCTCCCCACAAATATTCCTGTGATGTAGGTAGGACTGATATAATCATTTATTTCCATTTGAAAAGGAAATGGGCCCTCAGAGAAGTTGACTTTCTACCATAAACACACAACACCTAGAAAGTCAGAGCTAGATCTGCTGCCGAGATCTCTTCACTCTAGAATAACCTGTAAACGAAACCCCTTGCTGTTGAGTTGATTCTGACTCATAGCAACCCTATAGGACAGAGTAAAACTGCCCCATAGGGTTTCCAAGAAGCAGCTGCTGGATTCAAACAGCAGACCTTTTGGTTAGCAGCTGAGCTTGTAGTAGGTACTTCTATATCCCCATTTTACAGATAAGAAAACTGAGGCCCAGAGAGCTGAAGTAATCTGCCCACGGTCACACAGATAGTTAAATGGCAGAGCTAGATTTGAACTCAGACATTCTAACTCCACAATCCATGCTCTTGTCAAAGATGTCATGTTACCTCTCAGACTATTAGCTTCCTGGTCAAAATTTACCACAACAGTTACAACTCTTCACCAGACCTTTACTTACTCTAGGTGGGCAGACAGTATGTGGAGGGCTGGAAACTCATTGATACTTAGACCTGTTTCAACAAAAGATGAAGGAGTGATCCTCCTGCCAGAGGATGTTGTGCTGGCAAAGTGTCCATTAGATCCCAGAAAATAATTGTGTTTAGTACCTGCAACACATAGATATCATTGTTTAATTACATTATTGTAGATAGCTTCTGCTCTATCTTGTTCCCTGAATGGTAAACATTTTTTAAAAGAAACAGTTACATTTGCTGGGATTTCCTGTGTACTGGGGATTATGCTAACACCTTACACACATTATCCCATTTAATCCCCTAACAACCCAAAGATATTAGTATTACTTATTCCCCATTTTAAGGAGCCCTGGTGGCATAGGCTCAGAAGGTTAAGCAACTTGCCTAAAACCACATAGACAATAAACACCTAAGCCAAGATTTGATCACATGTCTTATGACACCAAACTCTACAATCCTAACCACTATGCTAGACTGCTGCTAACCAAAAGGTCGGCAGTTCGAATCCACCAGATGCTCCTTGGAAACTCTATGGGGCAATTCTACTCTGTCCTACAGTGTTGCTATGAGTTGGAATTGACTCGACGGCAACGGGTACGGTATGGTATGCTAGACTGGAGCCCTGGTGGTGCAATGGTTAACAGCTACAGCTGCTAACCAAAAGATTGGCAGTTTGAATCCACCAGCCACTCCTTGGGAACCCTATGAGGCAGGTCTGCTCTGTCCTATAGGGTCACTATGAGTTGGAATCAACTTGACGACAACAGGTTTGGTTTTTTTGGTTATGATAGACCACTTGCCCCTCCAACACAGTTTACCTGCTCTGAACCAAGTGGAAGAGCTAAGATCTACATTGAGATATACATCACTGTATATTGTACTGAGCATCTAGATCCTAAACAAAAGTCCATTTTCCAAAGGATTTGTTCGTAGAAAGACTCATGAATATAGCCAGTGATCAGGATCCAAAAAACTGCCTTTGGAAACTTCCATGGGTTCCCTCTCACTGCAGTGTTGTTATTCACTTAAATTCACTTGTTACTCACTAGACTATATCTTATTCATCTTAAATAGCACCCAGAACAGTGTCTGGCACAAAGTAGATGGTCAATAAATGTTTGCATGAATAAATGAAAAAGAATTATAACTCCCTAACGACCCACAGTTATAAATAAGGAAGTCCTGAAACCCAGTGACTGTCAGAAAGAAAAACATCCCCATTAATCTTCATTCTGCTATACAATTACTACTTTGTTACAGACTATCTGTTCTCTTATCATTATATATAGGTGTGAGCTTTGTCTAGCTACCTAAAAAAATTCCGATGAATGGATACTGCATTTCCTTGTGCATAACTTCATAGAGCATAGAAGCTCAATAGGTACATGCTGGTGGATCTGTTGATTTAATTACAAGAAAATTACAAGAAATAAGAATCAAACTGACCACTATTCCACCTACAAAGTATCATGCTTCATGTGTATATGGTATACACCAAGTGCCTACTGTAAATTCACACCATCTATCAGTGGGACAGCTACTTAATACACTTCTTTATTCATTTCTTCTTGATTCTCCCTCAAATTCACAAAGCAAGTACATCACATTTTTTCACTCTTGTCAACTCCCAACCCTATCACAAAACCCTTCACTCCTGAGCAGCCTTTGCCTCCAACTCTACAAAGTTTAACAGCCAACTGAATTACTCACAATCTCCCCATTCCAGAATTTCCTAGGGAGTAGCATAAAGACTATCTGCATCAGAATCACCTGAGAAGCCTGTTAAAAATATAGATTCCCAATCCCATTGCAAACTCACTGAATTAGAATCTCTGTAGGTGAAGCCTGGGACCCTACATTTTGAATAAATCCTCTTCCTCAGTAACTGGGGAAGGCTCACGTTTTTCAGTTACCTTCCACTTAAAGTCTAATCCCATCACCGCACTGCATTCTATTCCCCCCACCCCACCCTACCTCTTGATTCCCAGCTGCACAAAATTTCTGGAATTTGCCTGGTATTATGAATTGAATTGTGTCCCCCCAAAAGAAATGTGGAACTCCTAACCCCTGTACCTGTATATATGATCCTGCTTGGAAATAGAGGTTATCTTTTGTTGTATTAATAAGGCCATACCAAAGTAGGGTGGGTCCTAACCTTAATCCCTTCTGAGTGGTGTCTTATAAAAAAGAGCAGAAATAGACACAGAGACACACAGGGGGAAGATAGATGCCAAGGAATGCCAAAGAACTCCCAGGGCTACTGACAAGGAAGGATCTTTTCCTGAAGCTGATACCCTGATTCGGACTTCTAGCCTACAAAACTGTGAGAAAATAAATTTCTATTCTTTAAAGCCACCCACATGTGGCATTTTTTGTTAAGGCAAGACTACGTAACTAAGATACCCAGTCATGAGAATCAGTTTGTTGCATTTGTTCAATCTACAGATTCCAACAGACTGGAAGAGATCTATATTTATGCCTATTCCCAAGAAAGGAGAGCCAACCGAATGTAGGAATTATCAAACAATATCATTAATATCACACACAAGTAAAATTTTGCTGAAGACCATTCAAAAGCAGCTGCAGCAGTATATTGACAGGGAACTGCCAGAAATTCAGGCTGGATTCAGAAGACGACGTGGAACCAGGGATATCATTGCTCATGTCAGATGGATCCTGGCTGGAAGAAGAGAATACCAGAAAGATGTTTACCTGTGTTTTGCTGGCTATGCAAAGGCATTCGACTGTGAGGATCATAACAAGTTATGGATAACATTGCAAAGAATTGGAATTGCCAGAACATTTAATTGTGCTCATGATGAACCTGTACATAGATCAAGAGGCAGTTGTTCAGACAGAACAAGGGGATACTGCATGGTTTAAAGTCAGGAAAGGTGTGATTCAGGGGGATACTGCATGGTTTAAAGTCAGGAAAGGTGTGATTCAGGGTTGTATCCTTTCACCATATCTATTCAGTCTGTATGCTGAGCAAATAATCTGAGAAGCTAGACTATAGGATTGAAGAACACTCATTAACAACCTGCAATATGGAAGTGACACAACCTTACTTGCTAAAAGTGAAGAGGACTTGAAGCACTTACTGATGAAGATCAAAGACCACAGCCTTCAGTATGGATTACACTTCAACATAAAGAAAACAAAAATCCTCACAACTGGACCAATAAGCAATATCATGATAAACGGAGAAAAGATCAAAGTTGTCAAGGATCTCATTTTACTTGGATCCACAATCAACAACAATGGAAGCAGCAGTCGAGAAATGAAAAGACTCATTGCATTGGGCAAATCTGCTGCAAAAGACCTCTTTATAGTTTTGAGAAGCAAAGACGTCACCTTGAAGACTAATGTGCGCCTGACCCAAGCCACAGTATTTTCAATCGCATCATATGCATGTGAAAGCTGGACAATGGATGAGGAAGACCAAAGAAGAATTGACGCCTTTGAATTGTGGTGTTGGTGAAGAATATTGAATATACCATGGACTGCCAAAAGAACCAACAAATCTGTCTCGGAAGAAGTACAACCAGAATGCTCATTAGAAGATGGTGAGACCACGTGGACATGTGGTCAGGAGGGATCAGTGCCTGGAAAGGACATCATGCTTGGTAAAATACAGGCTCAGCAAAAAAGAGGAAGACCCTCAAATAGATGGATTGACACAGTGGCTGCAACAATGGGCTCAAACATAACAACAATTGTGAGCATGGCGCAGGACCAGGCAGTGTTTCACCCTCTTGTACATAGGGTCGCTATGAGTCGGAAACAACGGTACCTAACAACAGATTCCAGAACTCTGACCTAGACCTACAAGGGAGAGCCGTGGGAGTCAGTAAGTTTAAGAAGCACCTCAGGTGATTTTTAGAGTTAACCAAGTGTGGGAAGCACTGTTCTGGAACATGTCCCGGAGCCTAGAGCAGCCCTTGGCACAGTGAAGGTCAACTGGTTGCTTGAAATGTGGATGAAAAAAATTAAAAAACAACAGTTGCCATCAAGTTGACTGCAACTCATAGCGACCCCATGTGCATCAGAGTAGAACTGTGTTCCACAGGGTTTTCAGTGGCTGATTTTTCAGAAGTAGATTGCCAGGCCTTTCTTCCAAGGGGCCTCTAGGTGGACTCAAACCTCCAACCTTTCAGTTAGCAGCTGAGAGCATTAAAGGTTTGCACCACTCAGGGACTCTGAAGTGTGGATAGTTGGGATGAAGTGGAGCCCAGTGGATGGGGCAGGAAAGCAAGGGAGGAACCACCCATACACTAAGCCACAAAGGAGGTATCAACAAACAAAATATAGACCACATTCTCTGACCACAATGTAATATAGTTAGAAATCAATAATAAAGAGTCAGCCAAAAAACATCCATAAGCTTGGAAACTCAAACCACACTTCTGAATGATCAGTGATATAAGTACTATATATCAAAACTTATGGGATTCAGCTAAAGGAGTAATTAGAAATTTGGAGCCTTAAATGCATATACTGTATTTCATTGAATATGTGATGCCATCAATTGTTATAACATTATTATTTTATGTACCACAGAGAACAAAGGCTTTATCACTTATAATTTTATTCTTATTGAAGAAATCTTTTAGACTTATTTAAATGTAAATTTTAAACATTGTTGTGGATTGAATTGTGTTCCCCCAAAATATATATTGGAATCCTAACCCCTATACCTGTGAATGGAATGTAATCAATCAATTAGTTGAGGTCATACCAGTGTAGGTGGATCCTAAATCTAATCACTTCCGAGTTACATAAACAGCAGAATAGACACAGGGACAAACATACCCAAACAAGGGAAGACAGATACCAATGAAAAACATCTACAAATTAAGGAACCAAGGAACACCCAGAGCCACAGTCAAGGAAGGAATCTACAGGGCCAAGACCCTGATTTGGACTTTTAGCCTCCAAAACTGTGAGAAAATATACTCCCGACCCAAAAACCAACAACATTCTTTAAAGAGATGGAAAAACTAATCATTAGCTTTATATGGAAAGGGAAAAGGCCCTGGATAAGTAAAGCGCTATTGAAGAAGAAGAATAAAGTAGGAGGACTCACAGTACCTGACCTCAGAGCCTACTATACAGCTACTGTAGTCAAAACAGCCTGGTACTGGTACAACTACAGACACATTGACCAATGGAACAAAATTGAGAACACATGTGTAAATCCATCCACCTATGGTC